GGGGCGTGGTGTGTAGGGGGCGTGGTTTGCTGCGGCTTCGGGGACAGCACCGGCTGCAGTCAGGTATTATTGGGCGGGGGCATGGTGTGTAAGGGGCCGGGGGGCGTGGTGTGTAGGGGGCGTGGTTTGCTGCGGCTTCGGGGACAGCACCGGCTGCAGTCAGGTATTATTGTCACAGGCTCCAAAAATCCAAGATGTCAACCAGGAAGTAGCAAAACCCTTCCTTTTCTCAGTGCAGAAACCAACGGGTGATGTCACGGTAGCTACGTCCACCTTCTATACAGTCTTTGACTTGTATACACATGAGCTAACAGCTCAGCAAACAGTTGAACCATTGGGGTAACTCGAATGAAATGTTAAGCTATGGTGTGCGTGTGTCGCGTCGCATATCGTGTGCGCATCGTGTGTGTGTGCGCGTGCGGACGTAGCGTCCCGTGTATGTAGCGTAAATGTGAATGTGTGTGTGGAGGGGAAAGGGGTAAAATTCACTGTGCCTCATCGTTTTTTGACGGTGAAGGATTTGATTGAGGTTGTCTTCGAGAAGTTTAATTGCTAATTCCAGTGAAGTTAAACCTGTAGAGAAACAAAAGAGAAGATGCATTTTATTTTTACAAGTTTTTGCATTTTTATAGGTCATTTTGTTTTTAACTTTTTTAACTATGAATATGTGGCCTTGAGTGATCTAAGTTTACTGAACCGAGTGGATGTGGCCTGCATTCGCAGGTCAGGTTTTTTTGGAGGGATTTGATATGGTGAGGATTGATGTCGAGAGAGGACGTCAGTGCACCCGTAGTCGACTTTGGAGAGAGAAGACCAGCTGCCAGCAGTTAGCTACGAGACAGCTCACCGGACGCCGGCTTGGAGAACCAGATCTGGAGGACCAGATGGCGTGCCAGCGCTGAGGAATAAAAAGACAACTTAACTTACCTCATTACCTGCGGTGTGGTAGGACAGAAACGAACACACGTATAAGGGCCCCAACGGAAAGATAAACTGAGCTCATTAAAGAAAAAAGGCCACAAAAAAAAAGACAATTTTTTCCTATTAGTTTATTTCATTTTATTTTTCATATTCATTACGTAACACCGGTGTACTGTCATACTGTTCTTACTGATGACCAAGAATATGTTTTTCTTTGAAAAGTCAGTTCTGAGTGAGTGTATTTAATGTTGATGATCGCAGCTAGACTTCATGAGCGACTCCCAGAAATCCTGATCACTGGTCCAAATAGCAAATTGTAAATTGAAATAAATTACCACCTGTAGCTTTGTCAGGCAAAGAAGGGTTACAAATGGGCTCAGCAAGCTGAACAAGAACGAAAAGTCACCAGTGAGCTTCTTTAAACGTTCATCACTCAGGATAAAGGCCTGCTACAACATCTTGAAGTGAGTTTGAAAATTAAATTTGACTCACATAGCCTTGATAATTTTGGTCAAAACATGACAAATGAATGATTTAAGTGAACCATTTTCTATTAGCCTAGTGTTTGTATATTTACTTTGAGCAACCTCCCAAAAATATATATATTTATATATACAGGCAGTCATTGCAGGAAAAGTTGCATCCTCCTGGGCATCATCGAAAGGTCAGAGTCAGAATTTTCTTGAAAAACCTGGTTGAAACACAGGCAATCATGTCACAATCAAGTAGCATTTGTTGTGGATGTGCTTCTGCCAGAGTTTTTTTTTTTTTTTTTTTAATCATGTTAACATATTTTGTATTATTGCTATTGTCAGTCTTTGACTTATGATTAATATCTTGTTAACTGCTACATGACAGACTACTTTAATGTCTAAATGAAAGATGTCCTTTTGTTCACCTCCTGACACAGGCAACAGTCCACACCCTTGCAGCTGTCCATGCAGTTTCGGTCATGGGAGGCAATCGGGGAACCCAGGAGCAGACACAGATCAGGCTGACAGGCAGGTTAAGTGCAACAGAATTTAATAAGACAGAAAAAAACACAGAGGGGGGCAGACAGGCTGAGGGAAATCCAGGTAGAGGCGAAGTGGAGACTGGCAGAAACATGCAAATGGAATGGCTATGGTCCGGCAGAGTGTGGTGGAAAGAACCGAGTCTGTATAGGAGCAGTGGTGATAGTGTGCAGGTGAGTCTGGAGTTGCAGCTGAGGGTGATTGTCCTGATTAGAGCCAAGATGCACAGGGGCAGAGAGGGAGAGGGACAGAGAGCGAGAGACAGACAGAGAGGAGGGAGAAGAAAGGGAGAAAAAGAGGGAGATAGGCAAGGGCTGGGGCCGAGGCTGGGGGGTCATGACAGTTTCCCTCCACAGAGCCACAGAAATCTATAAATATGGACTGCAGTATGACTTGAAGTGTGCTACAAACATAAGGAGTGTGCTAATACCTATATGTATTGTTTGTACATTGTTTATGACAACCTCTCAGTGTGAATTTCCTGTTGCTAATTGCTGTTTTCTTCCATTTTGTCTCATCAGTGAGAAACAGCTGTTGGCTCATTAACTGGCAAAAAACATGAGCAAGGAGGCACAAAAGAAAAAAAAACTGTGCTGAACAATTACAAAGAGCTCTGGAGTCCGAAGACTTTTTGAAGAGGCTGTAGCTGGCAGGACATTTAATTGACCTGTGTTACCCTGTGTGGTACTTTATTGGCAATAAAACAATAAAAGCTGTTCCTAGTTCGTTTGTCTGATTTTTTTTGTAAAATAAAACTTTCAAACTTTTGCATTTTAAGGTACATATTTTGAAGATCGGTGTATGGTCATTTATTTTACTAGACTTGTGAATTATACTTAATTCACAAATTTTGTAGCCTGCTTAGTTCTAAATAAATACATTTTATTTGTGTCAAAGGGCCAGCGACCTTTTCTGTTAGCCCGTAAGAAATCATCTCATTTGAGTGATATTTATGGCATGTGATGTAGTAGGCCAAGCTGTGACACTGTGGCTCTTAGAAAAACGGCTGCTGTAAACAACCTATTTTAATTGAAATAACTGCTACTAATTATTATTATTATTATTGTAAATATTGATTTTAGTTCAAAATAACCTTGTGTACATGAGTCAAAAAAAAGAAAAGCTGCATGCACCAGATTTAGCAGAATGCAAATTTTCATTTGCAGTCCTATTTAATTACATTGCTTTCTGTTTTTTTGTTTTGTTTAAAAAAAAAAATCAGTTTATTGTATCAAGCACATTATTTGCATTGGAAGGCATTTAATGTTGTGAATCAAGCGTTAAAGTTGTTAAAATTGCTCCCGTTATTGCATTATTGCTTTATTTCCCTTCTGTTTACTTTTGACATGCTGTGGAACTTCCCAGCCACCATGGCGTCATGTGTGCGTAGTTTGTAGGGGCGTGGTTTGTAGGAAGCGTGGTTTGTAGCATAGAAAAGATGGACGTAGCAACCGGCTCTAAAAAATGAAGCCAATCCGGAAGTGTCAAAAACCTGCAATATCACTACGTCCGCTAGTTGCTGGCTCCAAAAAGCCCTGCTACCATAGACTTGAATTGGAAAAAGAAGTGATCACAGATCATGAAATACCGCATTCCTACAGCCCAGGATTTTTTTCTTATTAGTTTTCATAGTCAAATCCAGAGATGAGGTGGCCAATCTGAAAATAAATCAATACTGAATTTTTAAAAAATCGTCAAAATTTTGCAAGGCAAGGGGCATGGCTGGCTTGATTGACAGTCTGGTCTGGAATGATTGACAGGTCCTCTGGGCAATGCATCGAAGAAGCTTGTTCGCTGCCGAGCTTCGCTCTCATCCACATTTAGGTTAAGTTCAAATAGTTGTTATTTGGTCATTTTATGTCGGTGAAATAACCACATTTCCCACAGTTGTTTGGCTTGTGTTAATCAGTTTTCTTTTCACCTTGGTCATGCCTTATATATATATAACTTTAAATCACCCGCAGGAGCCAGGAACCTCACTTTTTCTCGAGAGGAACTACTGGCTCTAAATCCTATGGCACAGGTTGGAATATGACATCATGTCCCAGCTGAGCTGAGGAGGCATTACCGGGGTAGCAAGGCTGGCGCGAGGCTGAAGGCTAGGCTAACAGACCGGAGGCGTTTCAAACCATCAATCCCGATGGTAATTATGGGAAACGTAAACGCCTTGCAGAACAAGATGGACAAGCTGTCTGTGCTGATCAACCAGCGTATCTACCGGGAGTGCAGCTTGTTCATCCTTTCGGAATCGTGGCTAACCCAGCTAACAGCGGACGCTGACGTGGACCTGCCGGGCTTCGCCACAGTGAGAGCGGACAGAGATACGAAAGCATATGGACAAAGCAGTGGTGGGGGTCCCATCATGTACGTTAACAACCGCTGGTGTAACCCAAGTCACGTTTCTGTCAAGGTGGTTCTGTGTTGTCGGGATTTAGAACTGTTAGCCATTAGCCTGTGGCCATATTACTTGCCACAAGAGTTCAGTCACGTGATCGTGGTAGTGTGTTTACATCCCCCTGAGTGCCGATGCAGCTGCCTGTGAGAAGATTCACAGTCACAGCAAGGCTGCAGACCCAACATCCAGAGGCACTTATCATCATCTCTGGGGACTTTAATCACACTGAACTCTGCCTTGCCTGTCTTCGACCAGTTTGTGAACTGCCCCACCAGAAAAAAATGGACAATCGACCTCCTGTACACTAATGTACAGGACGCATACAGAGCCACCCCCCTCCCCCCACCTGGGAAGTCAGACCACAACCTAGTCCTCCTACAGCCTCAGTACACCCCTCTGGTCAAAAGACAGCCGGCCACAATACGCACCATAAGAAGGTGGTCTCCTGAGGTGGAGGAGGCCCTGAGGGACTGTATGGAAACCACCTCTTGGAATGTTTTGTTCTCCCCCCATGGCGAGGACATTGAGGGGCTGACCCACTGCCTGACTGACCTGAACTTCTGTGTAGATGTAGTCTCTCCTGCTAAGAATGTTCGTTGTTACCCGAACAACAAACCCTGGGTGACGCAGGAGGTCAAAGCTGCACTCAACAGGAAGAAGGTGGCCTTCAGGAACAAAGACAGGGAGGCAATCAGATCAGCACAGAGGGAGGTGAAGCTGTGCCTGAAGGAGGCCAAAGACACCTACAGGACGAAGGTGGAGCAGCAGCTGAGGGACAACAACATGAGGGAGGTCTGGCAGGGTGTGAATACCATCACGGGCTTCAGAACAAAAGCCAGAACAGCAGGGGGGACGGTGGAGGAGGCAAACAATCTGAATGCCAAACCTTCTTCAACCAGTTTGACCAGCCCTTTGTTCCCCGAGCCATCAAACTGTTCAACTCTGAGCTCGGGGGGCGGGGGGGGAGCAGCAAGCGGGGACAGGTGGGGAGCAAGGGGTGAAGAGTGAGGACATTGGGGTGAGATAGAGCATCATGCTCTATCACCGGACTGTGTGCAATATTTTGGCACTTTGGCACTGTTACTGTATCCATTATTCTTGTTGTTATTGTTATTATTATTATTATTACTAATGTTGTGCTGGTGTTGTGTTGTTGCTAGTACAACAATTTCCCTGAGGTACCCTACCAAAGGGATCAATGAAGTTCTATCTAATCTAATTCAATCTAATCTAATCTATTCTAATCTTGTTCCTCAGTTAATTGCACTAACAGACCCCCAAGGGTTCCATTATCCATTTTTTTCGGTAAGTAAATGTTTGAATGCACTTTATTTGCAACTTTAGCTTTAAATATGATTTGTACAGTGTATGCCTAAAGTTACGAATTGTTTTCGAGGTGTTTTAGATGGAGAAGTATAGACAATTGACATCAATGCACCTTGCTAGTTACGCAAGCTATCTAGCTAGCGTTGGTGTGAGCTGATGTCTCGTCTCGGTTTTCCATCCTGTTCTGATGCGAACACCAGCTTCTGGCACCACTGGACCGGCACCCTGTGTTGACCATAGACTGTCGGCCACATGTTTTCGTCAGGTTCTGACGTAAAGTTTAACCAACTTTAAGCCAACAACGTGTTTTGTGTGTCTGGTACATACGACCAAGTTGAAGTGTAATGTGTTAAAATAATGCGCGGCATTGTCATGACTTAATAACGTAATGTGGACAGTTAAAAGTGGTTTAAACGGTAATGCCAGCTTTATATGTTGTTGTTTGGTAGTTATGATGCATGTTACTCTCACTCACTTAAATGAACGTGGCGGTCCAAGTGTAACCTACCCGCACCCTTTATGTATAAATGATGGACGGAAAATCCTTTTTCATGTAACGGTGCAGCAGAAACCTGTGGCGACTGTGTGTAGGGATAACATATTACAACATGTTGCCTACATTAAAAAATATATGTATCTTTAGTTTGGATGGATGTGTCCTTTTAAATGACCCAAATTGATTAATGACTGGTCAGTCGAATATACTATAATCTGGAGGAGTGATTGCTTTGCTGCATGATTTTTCCTATGCTGTGAATGTGAAATTTCTGGGTGCCACAGTCGTTATTTCTACTTTACATTACAGATACAAGTAGTGATCTTGTTAAATAATGTACATTTTCTCACCTTAACAGATGTGACTTTTGTTACTTTTCATTACTTAAAAAAAAGTTCTATTTACCACAATTGGCTTAACACCAAATTATTGCTAAAATCAACAACACTGTTGTTAAACAGCATAAATACATATGTTCGCCCTAAGTCAGCTGGGATAGGCTCCAGTGAGGGCCTAGTGAGGATTAAGCGGTGAATAGATAATGGATGGATGGAAGTCAGTTGCAGGTCAGAACACTGAGAGCAGGGACACTGCAGGTCAAACTGACAGCACTGACAGCTCACAGTCCGGAGAGGGCCGGGGTCAGCCTGAATGCAGTCAGGGACCATCACCATGTGTTGTTGAGGCCAGCATCCAGAGCCAGGGCAGCAACCATGAAAACCCTGAAATGAGAAGAGTGTTGCACGTGTATTTTTACCAAACAACAGAATTTATTTGTTATTCTTTCATAATTGGGTGAATTAAGTGACTGAAAACTAATTGTCTCTATGACTAAACTGATGGCATTGATTTCTGTGTTGTTTTTAATTATGTTGTTTACAATATGCAAGACATTTAGCAAATTGCAATTCTTTTAATATGTAAAATGTTGTTTAAAGAGCTATTAACTCTTAACTGTTTCAGTCTAGGGGCTGCAGGGTGGCGCAGTTGGTAGCACTGTTGCCTCTCAGCAAGAAGGTTGCCGGTTCGCGTCCCGGTGGGGGCACCGGAATCTTTCTGTGTGGAGTTTGCATGTTCTCC